GCCTTAGCCGCTTGAGCCACAGGCACCAAGCCAACAAAACCACTTTAATTATTTTATGTAACCTAAAATCGATAATAAAATCATCAATGGAGTTTATATTTTTCTCTTTTAAAATTATAGAATAATTATAAGTCATCCACCAACCTCTCCCACCTAAAATAAATAAGAGCTGGGAAGTATGCGGGTGGCAGAAAAATTGGATTGGGATCTAAATTACTCAAAGTCACATAATTAATGGCAGACTCACTCGAATTTGGAGTTTCAAGCCCTTAAAGTCTATAACCACAGATTTGCATGTCTCATAAAAAAAGTCAGGGGAAGGGGTAGAATAGATAGGAGGGATTAATATTTATTGCCTGGTACAGTCCAAGAAAAATAAAATGGTAAGATTCTGTTACTTGATCTGGTTGAAGATGTGTGTGAATGGTATGTGTGTGTGTGTGTGTGTGTGTGTGTGTGTGTGTGTGGTAGTGTACAGGGAAGATAATTTTATCTGGCTAATCAGGTTTGAGTTCTGTAGAGGTTTTCATTTCTCAAGTCTTCTCCCTACCTCCTTCAATGGTACCCAGCCAGTCTCCATGGTGGAGATCAATGGACCCCAGGAATTTTCTTTTTTTTACCATCACCTGAAGAATGAAACTTATACTCACTGAGATTTGCATTGATTCAAATGTCTCCTGTCATTCCACCAAAAACAAAGTTTGAGATTTTGATCAGATACTTTCTAGAATGCTGGGCTCTGCCTCTAAGCATGAGCAGAGCTGCTTCTTTGCCTCTTTTTCTTTTTTCCCTATGTCACTGGATTATCACTCTTTTTTCCACTGGTGATTCTGATCAAAGTTCTTTTCTTTTTCCACCCAGCTCTATTACTACAGGATCGTAATTTCTAAGTTTCTTTGCCACTAACATATACCTTCATAGTCTGTCCCACTCAGCCCCCTGCCTCAGTTCTCCTTGGGTAAGCTACTGACACCTGTCTTCCATTTCTCAAGATTCTTTGTGTTTATCAGTACTAGTCTTCCTTTATCCAAGAAGCTATGTGGTGGTCAGTAGTAGTGTGAGTTCTAAAGCTATACTCCCTGTGTTCGAATCCAAGGTCTGCCTCTTAGTAACTATGACCAGATTACTCCAGCTAGTCTTCCAATTACTCAGCTGGGATATTAGGAGAATTATAAATCTTCAGCAGCCTTTTAGCCTCCTGAATCCTAATTCCTTAGACTAGCTTTCAATATCAGCTCTTATTTAACTTTATCAACATTATTTCTAAATATTTACTTTGTTAAATTCTGTTTCAGCCAAACTATCTTACTTGCTTTTCTTAATCAGATCTTTTGTTTCACCTACCCTTGAAAAGCTAAGTAGTCTTCCAAGACTGGTTCAGGCAACTAGAGTATTTTTTTGCTACCCAACCCCAAGCATACTATTTGTATTATTCACTTGGTAATTGACTCAGACTTAAACAGCTCTTACTGTATTTTTCAACAGAATGGTTAGCTAATTTTTCATATATTTATGTAAAATTGGAAGACATCAAAGACATAAAACGTGTCATGCCTTTTGCATTCTTATTTAGAGCACCTGAATGGTACTTGCTGACTGGTTGAATGACTGAAGCTGAGGCACAACTTAGAATATTTCGGTAGTATTTTCCTAGAAGCATCATTTTAAGATGGCTTCTGGATATGGATAAACAATTAAATATTTAAATCTTCCTAAACATAAAAATAAAAAAAAATTACAAATCTCATCAATATAAAAGTTCCTAGAATTTTTTAAGGTGAAATTAGTAGAACATTCATAAAAGACAGTCAAGTTTCATAAGGATAATACTAAAACTGTGAGGTTAGGAATAATAAAAGATGACATAAATGGATTTAGATCCTCACCTTTAACACACTTCCATTTTCAGAGACAGTGAGGCCTGGTTTCTTCAGTAAGTGGCGGCCATCTTTTAACCAAGTAAGAGTAGGTGAGGGGATTGCATCACTCTGACACAGTAACTCCACGGCTTGGCCAATGATGACAGAGACGTTTTGTTCTTCTCCCATAATATTTGGTGGAGCTAAGTGAAAGATGGGTTTTTTTCCAGGATTAAACAGGCCAGCATATTGTTTGTTTTCATTAACCATCAGAACATACACGGAATAACTTTATTAATTCTTTTAAGATATAGAATCACAATCATTCTAACACCCTCATTGCATCACCTTATTCAGAATCAAGTGTTGAAAAATCACTGATGACAGTATTCCCATTAAACAAAAATAGTTGCCCCTAAATTTTCATTTAAAACATTTTTAGAACTGAAAGTTCTCACTAAGTATCCGAGTAAGAACCTTCTAGAACTTGGTGTTACTGCTTAAGGTTTTCAAAGCGATGAATCATGAATATCCAATGAATATTTTGGAAACAGCAATGAATTAAAAGCAAATGCACTTTCAATTTTATTTACATTTTTTTTGCAAGAGAAATATACTTCATAGTCAAAGAGGCAAAATTAAAAAATAGAGTTGGAAGAGAGCACAGAGCTCATCTTGTTCCACCTCATAGTGTGCAAGACATAAAATGGGCAACAGATAAGAGCTCATGCAAAATAATACGACTAATTAATGACAAGGCTAAGAGTCTTCTGACTTGTGGCTTAGTGTTCTTTTAGGTTTTCCATGGTGCCTTGTCCACTGTCCATAAAATAAAGACCATGTGGGATAAATTATATGATATAAAGAATAAACCAAGTCACCGACCAGCTGTATAACGTGATTACATAAAAAGAGGAAATAAGTTGAAATTGTAATGAGATTAAAATTAGAATTCCCTAGCTATAAGGCTTGTCAGATGCTAAAATGTGTTCTTGGAGGAGTTTAAGGAATATTCTTCCCTGGAGTATATGAAAGAATAAAGTAAATAATCATTTGACTTCCATAATTTAGGTACAGCCCTGCCAAGAACAAGAGGGTGGGCTCCATACGTTCTCAAGGACTCTTTCAGGACTGTATATAATGATTCAGAAAACACAAGCTACTGATGAAATCAGGCTTGTTATAAAAGGCCCACTCAAGAAACACAGAGGAGCTGGAAAATGTTCTTAGCAAAGTATCACAAGAATGGAAGAAAAAATATCCAATGTACACAGCCCTACTATGAAACTAGTTTATAGTTTTCATATGAAAGCTATAACCTAATTACAGCCTAAGAAATTAGGGAGGGGGAGGGGGAGGGAAGAGGGGAGGGATGGATGGGTGGAGGGAGAGTGATTGGAGGGATCACCTCTATGGTTTGTCTTTCAAGGGTAGAAGTGAATCTTTCTAAAAGTAGGGTATACATGTCTTAACACAGTAACTAAGAAAATGACATAAAGTCTATGTTAACCAGTTTGATGAAAATATTTCAAATTGTATATGAAAAGACCACACTGTACCCCATGATTGCATTAATGTACACAGCTATCATTTAATAAAAAAATAAATAAATAAAAAAGAGAAGGGAGTGAAAAAAAAAAGAAAGGAAACACAGAGGGGATTTTCTCTGGTCATTTCTCATTAAGTTCCATAACTATTCGGGATTGTAGAAAATTTATTTGTGTGTTTTGTTTTTGTTTTCGAGAAAGATTAAACTGTATTGAAAGGAAACCTAAGGGATTTTGCAAATGCTCTGATAGAAAAAAGAGTTTTGTGGTAAGGAATCTTATTATGGTTTAGCCATTGTTTCGGGCTTGATAACCTGGCACGTGCTAAGAGGACAGTGACTGCGACAGACTTTGACCGTAGCAGTAGCGCTGTGTTTCTGTAACCGTGACAATTCTCTGCTACCATACACAGTATCTGCTACAGAGGGAAAGAGTTACGAATTAAAGGGCCCTTTCTTGGGCCTTTTCTGAGCACAGGACTTGTGCTAAAGTCAGAGAAAGAAATACTCTGTACAAGGGCTGGGACTGACCAATAGAGCATTTGTGCAGAGATTCATCATATTCCCTCTTCTAAATTTAATAGCGCAGACCGATAGCTGCTATTGATAAGGTTAATCTGTGGGGAACAGAAAATAGGGAGATTGTTTTTGGTAAGTGATGCATTAGATAAAAGATACACAGTCTGAGATTAAAACTTCTATAAAAACAGCACAATAAGCACAATTAGTGCCACCGGTAAGGAAGATATCATGAGAACAGTCTCAGCACAGGAATGCCTAAATAAAATAGCTGATTGCATAGATATAATTTCAGGGAAAGTATCGTCCCATTGGATGAAAAACTACCAAGAGTGTATAAAAATGTTTATCTAAGATTATTTGTAATATTTTAAAAGAGCGTAAATTATGTCTGCTTGCAGAAGTGAAAGTTCATCTCAGACTACAGGATACTAGTTTACTTCCAAATATTTTTCCTTCATTTACTTTTCTTTATAGCTAAATAAGTTGAATTAAGTTTGAAAGGAAACCAGATTTTTAAAAATGAGAGGAAAAAAATGCAAAAACAATAGCGTATTTGTTTAAGGAACAAAAATTACAGCAAATCTAATTACAGCTGAGGACATATTTCACCGGAACACATTTATTTTTTCTGTCCTGTCTCTCATTCCTAACTTTTGTTTAGTCTGAAACAGGAACAAGATTCTTCCCTTCAGAGCCTCAGCTTCCTCAGATGTCAGCCCTGTTATGTTTTGTGATTATGTTACTTAGAAAGAGGTACATCCCGGTCCTGTTTCTCACCCTATGCATCGTATTTGTTAAATTTATCTACCCAAATCAGAATTGCCATAGGGTTATACTTGCAGAGATGCTGAAGAATGTGTAATCTCCAAGGAAGTTCTCTGAGTTTAATTAGTTATGTATGATACGCATGCTAAGTGTAGAGAAAAGGTCCTACAGAAATCCACATCTGTTACAAACTCAATTCTCTTGTTTCTGTGGCTCAGTGTGGTAGAACGTATTTTAAATTTATATGAGGAAGAAAATGTTTTAATGAACTACTCTTGCAATTGTACAGAAAACTATTTGATCCAGGATCTCATCCTATTCCTTCACCCCTCCTCCCCACATACCCACTCTCTACAATGTAAATCTGAAGGTGACTTACCTCTGGGGATTACCATTCATTAGGCTCCAATTAGACACAAGATTGTCAAGGTTGTTACTACTAATACAGGAAAATAATTTACAAAAAGAATGCTAATAGTGGAATATAGATTAGAAACCGATTTTATATGAAAGCCTGTTTGAATTTGACACTTTTTCCAGTAGCTAGCCTGCTACTTCAAAATCGAAACATTTATATACATACTCAAATATACATATCAGCCAGACATTTGCCTTTTAAACTAGAGCAAGGATCCTGATTTTTGGCTTAAAGAGGTGGGATGGAAGGATTTTAGCCAATGATAAAGACAGAGAACCATGTTTCTGTAACTCCTCTAAAACATTAACTCTTTATCATCTCTCATGTCCAATCTTCACATGAGCCAGTGTAGAAATGTAAGAGGACAAACCCAGGCCATACTGATGTCACCCCTCTACTTGCTTGAAAGAGTTATTGTGTCACAGATTTTGATTGTCTGGTGAATCATTCTCAAGGGATAGTTTATAATATAAACCTTGCAGGTCTTCATAAAACATAAAAGTGACCTAATGCAGGAAAGGAATTAGAATTCTTGGGGTTGGGCATTGTAGACTGATCTGTTATCTTAGACATATCAGCAAATCTGGAGGTTGGATGAGGACCCACATCAATTGGGGAGAGCCCCTTAGTAGTGTCCTGGTGTCAACTGGGACCTTTTACTTTAATTAGTTCTGTATGATATACATGTTGTCACAAAGGGCCTTTTAACAACAACAACAAAAAAATTTGACAATATATATTATTTATGATCATTATATTTGCTTTTAGTTAGTTTATAAAGAGCTAAAGAGCAACCAACATCCACATGGCCTAGAGGCAAAAAAAAGAAAAGATAATATATTTCAAACAGGAGTGAATTATTTTGAAGTAAGGCAGGGCTTAACGGAGGAGGCCTGCATTAAATAGAAACTCTTCAAGAGGCCGTAGAAAAATAATTCCATTATTCCATGAACCAAGAAGTACAATGCAAATAAGACACTAAAAAAGTCTGAAAGAGTTCTAAATAGGAAGGTGTACGGGAATGTGGCCTGTCAGGCATAAAATATGAATGGAGGTCACTGAGACCCACCTTTGTTCCAGGAGAGTTCTGCTGTGCCAGGACCAGGCGTTCATTCCCTTTTGTACCACATGGCTGAATTGTGGGTAGCAAAACTTAAATCAATGGTTCTCAACCTTCCTAATGCCGCAATGTATTTTCATTGTTAAAAAGGGGTCATGACCCACAGGTTGAGAACCACTGACTTAAATGGTTTGTCTACATTTATGTTGAGTTTAACTTTCTGTTTCTCAACTAGTGTTTAATTCCTAGACATAGTATTGATCACAAAACACACCGATTGTAAAGAATAAAATTACGGCTTTGCTTTGACTGGTCTTGAACTTGGGGCCTTAAATGATCCTCCTGCCTCCCAAAGTGCTAGGATTATACATAGCAAGAGCCACTGTGCCCAGCTGACACGGATGAAGAGAGCTACTGAAAGGTACTATTATAGGTACTTGTTTCAGTGAGAAGATTCTGTCTTCCAATTGCAGTGCTTCATACTACTCTGTAAAACCAACACCATACATGCTGGATGAATATATTTTAATTTCTTGGAACTTTAAAATAGAAAAATTAGTCAAAGGCAATTCTAAGGTAGGAAGAGAAATTGATTTGAAATGATCCTCCAGTGTTATTAGTATTGTCCCTTTTAATCTATTATCAACAACTTCCCTTAACTTTCTCAATGATTTTAAGATCCAAACACATGTACAGCAGAGCAGAAGTAATCAATCACTAAAATGACTCACCATAGACTCTGAGGTCAATGTCCCTTTGCTTCTCCCCAGCAGCATTCACTGCCACGCAAGTGTATATTCCCGTATCACTGATTTGTGCACTGGTCAATGCTAGGATGCGACCCCCAGAGAGAACCTATCAGCAATAAGAAAGGTAAGTCACCATCATTCCCCCTTGATCAAGGTAGAGGCAAGAGACTTTTTCTCTTATTTTCTTGAGACTGATAATTGACATTTTCCTCTAGGATGATTTTCACTTGGATATTTTCAAGTGTGCAACTGCCATATAATCCCTCCTCTACACAGTGGAAGAATGTGAGGGGCTAGGATTAAACTTGGTAATGACCACTGAAATGGGGTCTTTATGTCCAACTCCAAGTGAAAGTCAAGTTTCTTCCAGAAAGAGAGAGAGACAGCCACCAAGGGAGAAAGATAAGGGGCTTCCAATTTCTTTTTGGACGAACAGGTAAGAAGATAAAATTAAACTTTCAATGAGAGGTTTGTGCTCTGTATGTTTAACTTTGGTTCAATGTTATAAACTTAAGCAAAGTTTTCTAAAACTCAATTTTATTTTTAATGACGTTTTAATTACAATTTTTCTTATGTTATTATTTGATGTTTTCCTGGAAATATGTAAGCTCTGTGTGGCTATCATTTCCAGACACTTAAATATAAATCTACCAGGAAATCCCTGTTTTAGGTGATGAACATTCTTCATTGTATTAATTATCTTTCCTAGTCCTAGTACAAAGTGCAGTGAAACAGGTAGAAAATAACACATCTCTAAAAGAAATGGTCCAAAAAATAACATCTACAAGTAAGGTACAAGAACTCTGAGAAATACTGAACTTTTAATGAATTGTTTAGGTATACTAATTGTGTGTCCATGGTATTTACAACTGTGTATTTGTATTTTTTTATAACATTAGTGAATCATTGTTCTTCAAATCTCTTTGACAGATTTACCTGTTTGTACTTCATGTATTGAATAATCAAGTGGTAAAGTTCACGAGAAATGAAAGACAATACCTGTATTCCATTAGCAAAACTGGAGACGGGGCTCCCATCTTTCAGCCAGGTCAGACTTGGGGCAGGGATACCTCTGGCTTCACATTCTAACCTCACCAGATTATTAACCACCACTGCCACCATGTTATTGCTGCCAGAAATCGATGGGGGCACTGGATCAAAAATAAAAGTAAGGTATGTCAAAATCACAGGATTTGCCATCTCAAAATAATGAAAACTATATGTAATATGCACAATCATGTATTTTTACAGGATGGTTTTTTGTTTGTTTTTGGTTTGGGTAAATTCTTTCACAACTCATTTGACATCTAAGCATAGCCATCCATAAGTAGGATATCACTATCTTTATTTTTAAGATGATGAAAAGAATATTTTGCTAGTTTATTTAGGAAATCTAATTTTTAATGCCAGAGTGGATATTTATTTCTTGATTTCCAAGCACCTGTATCTGCGTTTATACATCTATGTCACCCCTTCACCATATTCACTATATGTTACTGTTAACGCATCTTTAAAAGCAAATTAGACATGATAACTAATTGTTTAGCTAATGCCTATGATTTTGTTAGTGATTACATACAAGCGGGGGTTATTGTCATTAGCTAATAAAAGTGTCATGAGTAGGCCAGGAGCGGTGGCTCATGCCTATAATCCTAGCACTCTGGGAGGCCTAGTGGGTGGATTATTTGAGCTCCCAAGTTTAAGACTATCTTGAGCAAGAGTGAGACCCACCTCTACTAAAAATAGAAAAACTAGGCAGGCGTAGTGGTGGGCACCTGTAATCCCAGCTACTTGGGAGGCAAGAGGATTTCTTAAGCCTTAAGAGTTTGAGGTCACTGTGAACTATGACATCAGGGCACTCTAGCCAGGGGCAACAGAGTGAGACTCTGTCTCCAAAAAGAAAAAAAAAATAGTGTCAATGACTATTTCAACAATTCATCTAAAGCAAACTTAAGTCAACAGCATGTGAACATTGAGCATCTTAATAGGAATCAGGAACATAGCACCCTTACATAAAGATGATAACACACTCTTTCAAATACTTACACCAGAATTTTATAGAAACACTTAATCATGTTGAATACTTGTTTACCCTAGGATAAATCTAGGAGAAGGAGTACTGACCGTGAACTTGCAGACTGTAAAATAACTCTGTTGCTCCAGCTGAGTTGATGGCCACACATTTGTACAGGCCAGCATCTGAGATTTGGGCACTTTCAATATTAATGATCTGTCCTCTGTTCAAGAAAGTTATGCCGCTGGAACCTGAGAGTGGACGATTATCTTTGTACCATGTAATAACTGAAAAGGAAAGGGGAGAGCTCTATGTAAGATTTTTCTTTTAAAATTAAGTACAGTACATTGGATCTTAACTAAAATGGCACAACTGCTCTATTCTTACACTTATCATTTGAATTTACTCTGTTTAAATAAATACCTCTTTAGGGTGTATTTTTAAGAGAAAGTAACACTAAGAAAAACACCAAGAGTTAAGTCCATATGCATCTTGAAAATGAATTTATAGAAAAGATATTCTTTATAGTACTTGACAGCAACTCTCAACTTTTTATTTTTGTTGTGTATTTCCTCTCATCAATAAAAGTTGTCTATATCCAATCAAAATGAAATACCATACACTCTATTAGCCTCAAAAATTATATCACTATTGATTTATATGAATCACCTGTCAGTGATGGAAATATGCAAAATACACAAATGTGGTCTCATCAAAATGACAATTTGGCTCAGCTTCATTAAGATACTTTTTAAAAGTAAAACATATATTTTTCAGCATAAGGGTATATAAAATACTGCTGTGGCTTGTGGCCACGATATAGACAACAAGATAATGAAGATATTCACCTGGGGGGGGGGGAACTTTGGGCTGTGCCTGTGGCTCAAAGGAGTAGGGCACTAGCCCCATATGCCAGAGGTGGCGGGTTCAAACCCAGCCCTGGCCAAAAACTGAAAAAAAAAAAAAAAAAAGATATTCACATAGTTCTACATTGTTTAGATGGACAAATTATTTCCTCTATTTAAAAGCAATGGAATTTCAAAAATATCATCTACCTAATTCTGATATTCTGATCAATGTTGTTTTTACTCTTGAAATGTATTCTATATACTTTCTTTTATTAGTAATTAGTATATTATGCTAATAACCAGTTCCGGTATTCCCAGAAATCTTACAATGTTAATAAGGTACAGAGCCCAAAGTGAACATACCGGGGGAAGGGTTCCCAGCTGCCTTACACTCCAGCTGGACAGGGCTGTTCACTACCACCGTCTCATTCAGCATCTTCCCTGCCTCTTCCAGACGAGGTGCTTCTACAAGGGGCCCACACAGATAATTATTTCACCTAAGCAGGATATTTATACAGATATTGTTTGCTCAATGAAAATTACAATTTTTCTTCCTTCCTTTTGTTTCTTTCCCATATACACATTACTATATTTGGGTCAAAGTATATTATTAAATAAAAATAAAGAATTGGATGAACAAAAATCTTAACAAGTTTTCTAGGTCATACATTTCTTTATTTCCAGATAGGAAAATCTTTAGAATTGTAGATTAGTAAAGGAATAAAAGAAAGTCAAACAAGTATGCTTTTTATTCTAATTAATCTCATAATGAATTACCTTTACCAGAAAGTAATCTACTAGATGAAACTCTTCTAGTGAAGACTAAATCAGCATGTTCTCCAAATATTTGACTTTATTTTTCAATATCACTTCTTAAACCATTTCAGAAAAATTAAGATAACTTTTCTGTGTTTACTAGGAGATTGTATCTTTTGATATAAAATTTATAATTAAATTGTTCATACGATAAAAAAGAAACCTGCACTTTCAACTTTAAATAATCACAGATAATGCTGCTTTATAATTTTAATGTACTTGGAAAGTAGGAATACATACAGTCTAGGAGACATAATGTAAAGGGAGTAACAATTTGGAAATTAATGTCAGATTTTTCAACAGTATTTCTAGGATACTAAGGGGTGGGCCATGATGAAAAAATTACAAATGAACTGAAAGTTCTGCCTTATCTGGAGAAGGTACTTTAGATAAAAACTATTATTTAAAGTTAATAGAAAAAAATATATTTTAAGGATGTGTTAAATTTAACCTAGTGTTCTAAAAACTCTCACTCCATATATAATCAAATAATCAATCCACTAATGTACCCCTAAAAGAAAAGGGGCCAAGAAAAAAGGAAATGAAAAAAATAATTAGAAATAAATAAGATAGTAGAAATAAAATTAAATATGTGAATTAAGAATATATATGCAAATGAGCTCATTTAGTGGATTTTGGGGTACTTTTCAAAAAGTAGATTTTTAACACTTTTATGGGTTAATACTATTTTTTAAATTTAAAAATCTAAGTGGGCAGGCTGGGTGTGGTGGCTCATGCCTGTAATCCTAGCACTCTGGGAGACACAGGTAGGTAGATTGCCAGAGCTCACAGGTTCGAGACCAGCCTGAGCCAGAGAGAGACATCATCTATAAAAACAAGTGGGCATTGTGGCAGGTACCTGTAGTCCCAGCTACTTGGGAGGCTGAGGCAAGAGAATTGCTTAAGCCCGCGAGTTTGAGGTTGCTGTAAGCTGTGACACCATAGCACTCTATTGGGGGTGACAAAGTGAAACTGTCTCAAAAAAAAAGAAAAATCTAAATGAATTTTGTTAAAAAAGCACAAATTAAAAACCAACCATTAAAGAGCTGGACAAAGATAAATAATTTGACATCAGTTTCTGACAAATTAGTATACAAAGCAAAAATTATTAAACATGACAAAGTGACTTGCTTTGTATTGATTAAAATTACATAATTCATGAATAATCCTTTATGATAACAATGCTGTATATGTCGAATAACAAAGCAAACATTGTTAAAAGCAAAGGAAGTTTGAAACCTCAAAAAATGGTACATTTCAATGGGTTGAGGGAGGGGGGTTGGAGGGATCACTTCTGAAGTTTATCTTACAAGGGTACAAGTGAATCTTTCTAAGAGTAGAATGTGAACATTTTAAAATAATAACTAAGAAAATGACATGAAGGCTATGTTAACCAGTTTGATGGAAGTGTTTTGGATTGTGTGTGAAAACCCCACACTGTAACCCAGAAGTGCATTAATGTACATAGTTACCATTCAATAAAAAAAAAATGGTACATTTTAAAATGTCTTACTCAGAAATTGACTATGTAGTGAAATAAAAAAATAAAGTCAGGAAGTACTTAAAAAATAAAATTACTCAAATAAGTTATGTATGCATATGCATGCATAGGTGTCTATATTTGTAGTTACCAAAAATATATATATCTATTTAAGTGACAATATAATATATTCAAAACAGAATACTAGCACACAAAAGTATCAATAAAGTTTTTTATAACCACAATTTAATAGAATGATTTTTAAAAGAATATAAATCAATAACAAAAATATAAAGCTATCTATATGGGAGAAAACCTCAATAAAGATGAAATCAAGGGTGGCGCCTGTGGCTCAGGGCACTGAGAGTGGCAGTTTTGAATCCAGCTCCGGCCAGACTGCAAAACAAAAAAAATAGCCAGAATAGACAGGCGTGATGTCAGGCGCCTATAGTCCCAGCTACTCCGGAGACTGAGGCAAGAGAATCACCTAAGCCCAGGAGTTAAAGGTTGCTGTGAGCAGTGATTCCATGAAGGTGATAAAGTGAGATTCTGTCTCTAAAAAAAAAAAAAAGATGAAATCAAGATAAAAGTCTAGGCTTAAAAAATACAAATTAAAATGAAATTGATTAATATTAAGACCTATGGATAGTCACCAAAGCAGTACAGTATTTAAAGGAAATCTTAAGACTAAACTAGCCCATCAAAAAATTAAGAAATAATGGGAAAAAGATATTCTGAGCATTCAGCCCAGAATGTAGAAAAGACCAATACAATAAATCAAAAAGAGGCTATGTATAAAGAAATTATAAAATAAAAGGCAGAAAAAAAAACCCAAAGAAAACAAATAAAACCAAAAGATAATTTAACTCAAAGTTGTTTTTTTGACAAGTCTAAAATGAAGCCTATTGTCAGAGATGGATGACTTTTCAGACCAGATCTCTGGTTTGCTGAGCATTCTTCCTGAAGACTCACCCTAGAACTCACTCCTCTTTCACTCTTACAGTTCCTTTTTTGTTAATCTAATTGTATATGCTAACCTTCCTGTTTGAAATGTTTCTGTTTTCTGCACTGAATTCTGATTACCAATATAATATTCACAGACAAATGGCCTTTAAATATGGCTATCTGACTTTTCCAACTGGAAAAGGAATAGGAAAAGTAATCAGTCCATGGCACATTCCTTCAAAACAGTTATTTAAATACTCACTTGAAGCCTTCTGGACTGAAGTGCTCACTGAAGGCTTTGACAGACTACGTAGCTGCTGTAATAAAACATTATGATGGGACTAAGACATAGAAGAGCTATGGAGTGGGCTAACTATTTCTCACTTCACTAGAGAACATAAAGAAAAAAATGATTGGATGTCAACAAGACTGTCAGAGCAGCAACTTGAAAACTCCACTACTCCTCCATTAAAGAAATAAAAACACTGGAAAAACTGTCAAAATCAACTTTTTCAGAACTGTGGAAATCAACCAAAGAACTGTAATAATCCACGCATGAAGTGTTTATTTAAAATTTTTTTTAAAAGTTAAATCTCTAAATCTCATTAAGACCAGTGAGCTTTTTGGCATTTAAACTCATCTTACTCCTGTCAACCTCTTCCTAGCTCAGGAGAACGTCATAATCCTAAACCACAAAGAAAAAAGCAGCCTAGCAGATGCTGGAGGGAGCTGCTGCCTAAAGCACCATTCCGAGAGAACTGTCATTATTTGACCTGTCTAGCCCTTTCTTAGAATTTGCAGAGTTTATCTTTATTTAACTAGACTCAGAGTTTCTGTGTGTGAAAAATGTTTTCTCCTGGGTGTTTGGAAGTCTGTAAAAATAGCCTTTATAGAAGTTGTTCAGGAAAGTTAGTTTCCTTTGCTTCTATAATAAATTACAGGCAGTCCCCAAGGTTATGAGTGAGATAGGGTCTATAAGTTTGTTCTTTAGCTGAAGCTGTATGTAAGCTGGAAATAGGTACATTTACCTATTCTCTGTAATAGCCCCCAATTGTAAGTGTGAGTCATTTATCAGTTGGATGTTTATAACTTGGGGACCTGTTGTAATAGCCTCTGTTCATAAGAGAAGTTGCACGTAAGTTGGATGTTTGTAACTCAAGATTGCCTCTGCCTCAAACCTGGTAACTTAAACAATACAGTTTTGTAGGTCCAAAGTCCCACATAGCTTTATTGGGTTAGAATCAAGGTGTCAGTTGAGCTGAATTCCTTTCTGGAGGCTCTAGTCTAGAGAAGCTGTTTCCTGGCCTTTTCTGACTTCCAGAGGCCGTTTCTTCCATCTTTGAAGCTGACAATGGGTGGGGCAGGAAGGTGGATGTGGAGCATTCTTTCTACACATCTAAAAGCTGAACAAACTTAGAGTTGGATCAGTTCAAAGAAATCTGCTCTAAAATGTCATAATCACGCTGTGTTCAGTGAACACAAAGAGAGAATTTTGAAAGCAGTGCAAGAGAAATGATTTATCACGTGTAAGTTTCCTCAATTAAATGAACAGCTGATTTCTCACCAAAAAATCTAAAGACTAGAAGGCTGTAGGATGATATATTCAAAGTTCTAAAAGAAAGTGACTGTCATCCAGAAATTTTGTCTTTTAAAAATAAAGAAGAGGGTGGCACCTGTGGCTCAAAGCAGTAGGGCGCCAGCCCCATATGCTGGAGGTGGTGGGTTCAAACTCAGCCCCAGCCAAAAAAAAAAAAAAAAGAAGAAATTAATTAGTTATTTCCTAGAAAAACAAAACAATGGAAACATTCATTACTAGCCACCTGCCCTACAAGAAATATATGAATAAAAGTTCTTCAGGCTGAAATAAAGCAGTAATTCTAATGCACATAAAAAAAATAAGGAGCCCTGGCAGAGGAAACTACATAACTATAAGACAGTAAAGATTGTATGTTTTGTTCATAACTTCTTTCTTCTGTTGATTTAAAAGACAATAGCATAAAGATAAATCTGCATTGATGGTTACGTAATGTTAATGTACAATAATAATGACATAAAGGAAGGAAAGAAAAGGGACTATATAGGATCAAAGTTTATGTGATAAGGAGCTAATCTTCAGAATATACTATAAAGAACACTTACAATGCAACAATATGGACAATTCAATTTTTAAAATGGGCGAAGAATAGATGTTTTTCCAAAGAAGATACATAAATGGCCAGTAGGC